GAGAAGCTGCAGCCGAGTAAGGCGGCAGCAGATGATGATGACGGGTGGGCGGCGGCAGGGACCGGGCGTCGCGGAGCTGCGCCGGGTCTGCTGCGGGGGCGACCCCTGAACGCCTGCCTGCGCCGCTCCGCTTGCCCTGCTGCATGCTGCCGAGCGCGCCGCCCTGCGTCTTGGCTGCAGGGACAGCATTGACCGGGAGGGCGCGGACAGGGAGGACGTGGATCCAGAGGAGTGGGAGGGGCAGGAGGGCGGCGGCGGCGGCAGCGAGGAGGAGGATGAGTAGGTGAGGGCAGGCATGTAGTTTAGGCTAGTGGCACTTGGAAAGGAAAGGGAGCAGACAGGGCGTGGCGTGATCCTTTTGTTTGGGAAACTGCTGTTCTATTTACTGTTATCATCAGCAATGGGAATGGTGCCGGATGACATGTGCCCCTATGGGGGGCATGGGCAAACAATCGCTACTATCATTCGAGGGCATAAAATGCACGAGGATTGACGGGACACAGTGATTAAGAAAAGGCAGACACAAGCTAGGGCAAGGGACAAGTGTCAAGGCAGTAAAACATACGAGTATGAGGGCATGTTGGGTTGAATGCATGCCAATGGCAGGGTAAAGGAATGGGGCAGGGGTAGATAGCTTTATCGCGCAAGGTTGGTTGTTTATTGTTTGTGTCATAATTATGAAACAGGGGGCACAGGGGCCTGCAGGTTGCCGCCGTGCTGGCAGCCCCCAGGGCCCGCCGCATCAGTCGCCGCGGCCCATTTTCAGCTCCTGCAGCGCCGCCGCCTCGGCGTCCGCCTCCGCCTGGGCGCTGCCGCCGCCGCCCGCTTCCTCGCCGTCGGTAGCCAGGCTGGTCAGCACCACGCCGCGCGCCACCTGCAGTTGGGGAGGGCGGCAGGTGCTTGTGTGTGTGGATGTGGTGGTGGGGGGGTGTGCGCGTGGCGAGTGGAAAGTGCTGGGAAAGGGATGGCGGGGGGGGGCAGGGCAGAGGCCACCAGCTCCGCCACCCAGCCATGCCCGCAGCAGCCCCGCCAAGCCAGCCAGCCCGCCGGCCACCAAGCCAGCCAGGCAGCCACCAAGCCGGTGGCCCCATGGCAGCTGCGCACCAGGATGGCCTCCACAGAGGCGCCCCACGCCGCGGACTGGGCAAAGGCGTCCTCGGCGGCGGCGGCCTGCTGGGGGGTGCCCAGCAGGCGCAGCACGCAGCGGTACAGCAGCTGTACCGTCTGGGTGGCCGAAAACATGATGCCTGCGGGGACGAAGGAGGCCGGCGCGCGCCGTGGCGGGCAGGTGGGAGCAGGGTGAGCCCAGCGATGCCAAGCAGCGCGCCACAGATGGGCCGGCGGGCGGCAGCCGCGGCCCCGCCCGCTCGCCACGCACGCACCCACCCAGCGCCGCCACGCCCAGCACCGCGTCCGTCTGGCTGGCCTGCGCGGCCGCCTCCTCCTGCTCCACCTCCAGCAGCAGCAGCTGGACCTGGAGCTGCGGGGAGGGCGGGAGGGCGGGCAGGTGGGAGGGGCGGGGTGGTCGACAACGCGTCTGCGCCGGCTCTCAGTTCAACACTATGTAGTGTAAGACGTGCTGCGTGTCGGTGTTGTACGACACGCACCCAAGGAGCTGCAGGCGCGGCGCCGGAAGCCTGCCGCCAGCGATGCCGAGCATACACGCGGCCAGCCCCCCAGCCTGCCCAGCATTGCGCTGCTGTCTCCCCGTGGGCCGCCCCCCTGGCCCCACCCGACCGCCCGCCCACCCACCTGCAGGTTGAACACCATCTCTAGCGCCCGCCCCACAGCCAGCTCCCCGCCTAGCACCAGCCCCAGCGCCCGCAGCGCCTCGCCCATCTGCTCAGCCACGCCCCGCACCTGCGGGCGTGCGGGGCGAGTGGGGACGGGCGGCGGCGGGGTGGGCGGCACGCGGGCGGCGGCAGCAGGCGCAGCGGGCGAGCCAGGTGCGGCAGGAGCGGCGCTACTGCCTGGCAAGGCGCCGTTGTGTGGGGAGGCAGGCGGGCGCCTGCCCAGCCAGAGCCCCCCAGCCAACCCACACAAGCCAACCCATACAAGCGCCACACCGCAGGCAGGCCGCCCTCCTGGCCTGGCGGGCGCACCTCCCGAGGGTGCGGCATCAGTAGGCGGCGGTGCGGCACGTCGGGCGCGTCAGCCAGGTAAGGAATGA